TTCAGGTTGCAGGTTGCAGGTTGCAGATTGCAGGCACACTTGAGGCGGCCCAGGCAGGACACTTGAGATGGTACCCTTTTGGCCACATGCTCGAATTGATTTAATTGAAATTTTATTCGAGTCCATCTCGGGCAGAGCAACAGTTGTCCTGCCCAGGAGCAGTGGCCTTTTGTTCGTTTTGTTCATTTGTTGCATTTTAATTAAGGGTCGCTTTGTGCTATGCTGTGTGTGTCCCATGTTGCAAGCGGCCACAATAAAATCAAATCTAGGCAGCACCCACACATACCCCTTACCTACACTTGCATAAGTATTATACCTTTGAGTTTGTGTATAAAGCAAAACAAGCTATGGGGGCGGTGCACAATGGAAATTTGTATAAAAAGAAGAAACAAAAATAAAAACAACAATAAAAATAAAAATTAAAACAAAAATAAAAACAAAATGAAAACCAAAAGAAAACTATTTAAAAACACATACTCGAGTACATATAGAAACTATACATAGTTATACAAATGGATCCGGGCTTATAGGACTCGGGTTCCATTCAAGGTTGTTCATATGCTAAGCGGGCGCTTGAAGGATATATCTCCCCAAACACACACATATACATACATAACATATATCTCTCTCTATAAATGGTACTGTACGTATATCAAAAATCGAAGCTAAAACCCAGACAACACACAGATAAACAATAATATTATGTGCCATTATTAGCAGACCTAAAATGCTGAACGAAAATATATATAGAGAATAGTGAAGGAAGTAATTTGGAGTGTTAATTTTTTTCAAATTGTTCCAAAGTTTCTCCTACTTTCCTCGATCTTTGTATATAGTTTTATTTTCGTTTTTTCAAATAAACCTAATAAATGTGTTGCACTTGAAATACACTTTAGACCTAAGAGTTGTATATAAGAAGGCGCTTGCCAGTTACAGTGTCACAGCTAAAAAACATAAACGATGTATATAGCCAACGAAGCGATATTATATCGATAAACTGTAATATGTATATGTAGGATGGCAGAATGTTCAACCAAATAAAAAACTGAAGCTTAATCAAAGGTCCTCTCGATAATCCCCACAGAAAAGAAGAGAAGAATAAAAGCAAAAACAGCAGCTCTATATATAGGCAAATATATATATAGTATATATATATATAAAGTACTATAAACCGGCATAAAACGCATAAACTAAAAGTATATATCTTATATAATAAACCAGCATATATATACAAAAACAAATTATATATATATATATATATATTGTATGGTAAACGAACAAATTCTACAAATAAAGGACAAAAATATATTTATTAAAATTAATCAGAAAGTTTAAATTGCCAGAATTCGGGGTTGTCTTTTGGGGCCACAAGTCAAAGTTTGAATCGAGAGTTGTAAAAGCAAAATCTGCATATGGCGAGGGGGCTAACAGCTAACAAACAGACAAGACAAGGCGTCCAAGCAGCTGCACCAACAAATAATTTTCCAACTGTGCCGCCAGCTCCTGGCTCCTACCCACTTGGTATCTGGGATCTCTCACTCAGAGGCAGGATATCCGTTTCTGCGCCGAGCGGAAGTTGTTGTGAAAATAACACAGCAAATAACTTTTGCCACCGCAATGAGCACTGCACCCACCGGCCCCCGCCCCGCCCTCTTCTTGCTGGGAAAACTATAGGAATTTCCACCACGATTTAGTCTGGCAGCTGCATCAACCCAGTTGACATTTATCTACTATTATGCAATCATTTTGGTAAGTTATCCTAGGGGTTTTTTCAACATTTTTCTCTATTTTAGATCTTAAAAAACATAAAATTTAAATAGTTTATTTAAATTGTAACACAACTTCTTTGTTTTCTTTAAGATATTTTAATATACTTCGTGATATATGGCAATTTTATATATATTTCTATTTTATATATTATTCTAGGAACAATCAGTAATTAAAGAATCTTCAAATAAACCAAAAAAAATGTTTATAATGCAGTAAAAAATCCTTTAAAAAGGAAATCTCCTAAGAATGCCTAGAAATTATGAATATTTATGGTACAAAGTCTGCTGCCAGGTAAATATAATTACAAATTTCTTATTTAAAAATAAACATATAATTAATAGTAATATATAAAACATATTATTCATAGTTAAAATATCTTCAATATCATTTAGTCACTCAAACCTTTAAAATCAAATGATTTTTCTTTAAAACACATTTTCTTAAAGAGCCCGCACAACACCTCCACCTCGATAAGCAAATTTTCTAATCATATTTTAAATACTTTCACTTTCAATCAGTGCTTTTCTTGGCTTACCCCCCCTTCCCCAGCATTTTTCAAACCCAGCCCCGCCCCCCACCTTTGTCGGCGACCCTTGGCAGCCGTTACGCAACTCAATGGGCCATGACCGACCGCAGCCGTTGGCCAGAATAAAATGAAACAAAAATTATGCAGGCCAAAGGAAAAGGCGGTGAAAAAGGGTTGACGGTACACGGAAATTAAAATTTGTATATACATTTTAAAAAAAAATAATTCAAATGATAAATAAATAAAATAAAATGAATAAATGAGTAGTAATTTGTATAAATATTAATATTAGTGCCTATTAATATTTAAGAACAAATTTAAACAAATATGTATATATATATTTAAAATTAAAATAATTACTACTACAATTACTACTTTATTTATTACTTTTTTTTTTAATATTATATATATAAAAAATATGAAAAACAAAAATTTATAATACATTTAAAGCTATCAATTTGATATTTAAAAATTAATAAACTGATTTAAGTAATTAAATTATTACAAATTTAAATTTTATATTTCTTATTTTTCTGTTCTTTTTATTAAAATTTACTTAAATTAATAATAAATTATGAAGGCAAATAAAAAGGCTTTGATATAATCTAAAAAAAAAATCAACTTTTAACCATTTACTTGTATTAATTTGTATATTTTATTTCTTAACCTTTTGATAATTATTTAAATTTATTTTATTAAATACCTATTATTATTTTGTTGGCATCCCCATTTTCTTTTTGTGCAACTGCCGCAGCATCTTCGCTATCAGAAATTGACTTTTAATGAAAACAATTGAGAATTCTCGGTGTCTGTGTTGCCGGGTACCCCGAAAATGTTGTTCCAACCCGAAAGCCATGGGGTTCTTCTCAGCCAACTGGCCAAAAACTGGCTGCGGTTATTAATTTCAATTAAAGCATTTAACCGGAGAGCCGCCGAAAGTCAGCAATATGGCCCCTGGTCCACCTCCTTTGTTTACACAACGCAATGCCACCACCAATTTCCCATTTTTCCCAGCTACCCTCCCTCTCCTGTACATTAATTAAGGCGAGAAAATGCCCCAGTTGAAGTTTTTCCAGCCATAGGTGCTATGGCCCCCCCGACTAATAAAGTTGATTCGAGCGAGATTTTCGAGGCCATCGGGCAGGCAGGGAAGCGGAAATCTCGATTCTCAAGTATCGTATTTCACGAGACCATCAAATTAGCCCAGTCAGTAGCAGGACTCACAAGCGGAAAGCCAAAAGGTAGATAAATAACCAAGAATGCAGAATGCATTTCCTTGGGGAAAATACAAGATGATATTTATAATCTGCAAGTGCTTTTACGTAAACATAAATTTAAGGGAATTCTATTTTATTAAAGGAATATATAATTTGGCTTATTCCCTGATCCTTTCTTGGCAACTTCTTGATGCGAATACTCCTAGTGGCGCACTTCATCACATTTCTAATCATCAAATTAGCCAGTCAGCAGCAGAAACTCCACAGGCCACAGGCATTTAAAGTCCGCCAAACAACCAGGCAAATGAACAACCAAATGCAAAGGATGGCCAACTGCAGGGAGGCTACATTGGGTGGCCATTTCGGTGGGAAGTCGGTAGACAGTAGAGAGCAGCAGACAGCGATAAGGCAAAAGAGAGTCTGAACTAGCTTTTTGTGAAATTAAGATGTTTATTTATAATATTTTGACATTTTTACTGGAAAAGTAAGCAGGTCCTTTGCAGCTAAAAAATATTTAAAGTCTCAAAGGCTCTCTGAGAAAAATTCTAAATTAACAAATGCCGTCTATCATTTTTTATACTATTTAGTATGTATTTATTTATATATTTATTTATATACTTATTTATATACTTATTTATATATTTATTTACATATTTATTTATATATTTATTTATTTACATATTTATTTATATATTTATATATTTTTTTTAAACTTAAATTAAATGATTACGATTCGAATATTCAACTTGTTATCTTTACAACTAAATTAAATTGCTTTTAATGCTTAAAGGTAACCGATTTTTTTTTATGTTCGATTAATTTTACCAAAGAATTTTACTCATTTACAGTTTTGTTGGTTTATTTTACTTTACTTTCCCATATTGATAAAAATGCTTTCCCTTGGAGTATCTGTACATAACATTGAAATTTATTCAAACCAAAAAAATCACCAAATAAATTCAGGGGAAACAAGAAAGAATGTTGGCATGCCCTTGCAGTTTGGAATTGGTTTAGAGGCAGAAAATTAATTATACATTTTTATTAGATTAAAAAACTAGCAGATGGACTTTAAAAATTCCAAAAATTAAGTTAAAAATGAGGTATCCCCTTATAAAAACTATATAAAAATCTGTAAATTATTTCTATTCAGCCAACATGGCTAGATTTACACGGCTGTTGTTGCTGATAAAGTATATAGATACTTTTTAGGGTAGGAAATGACTCCCTGACAGCCCAAAAATACAATATCCTGCAGAGGTATATACATACTTTTACTTTTAAACCTTCAATTAAGGCCAATAAATGCATACTTTACCTACATAAATAAATATCCATCTATTTTTTGTAATGTGAATTGTATTAAAATTCAATTTTAAAATTCCAAGAATGTGTTTTTCTTAAATGGAAAGTTTGCATTGAAAAATAAAATCAAAACGACTTTCCTACATTGATTAAAATGCTTTCAATATTCCAAAAAAAATATCCCCTCAGTAGCCCAGGTGATAGCTGTATATATTTTCCCCCCCGATTTTCCAGTCTCCAACCTGAAACAAAAAAAACACAAAGCGAGGAGAGTTGAAAGCGAAAAAAAGCGTTTTAACCTTTAAGCGGTTGCCTGGCACTACAGCAAGCACACCTACACCACTAAACGCACACAACTACACACACTCAGCAACACACACACACACACTCATAAGAGCGGCTCTGGCAACCGCGTTGTCAACTGCTTTATCGATAAGTTTGTTTTGTTTGTTGGACATCACGCAACCGGCTCAGTTGCCAGAATCTAACAGAGGAGACTGGTCCTGCAACTAGGAGATCCCTGAATAAAGCAGATTTAAGGAAGAACAGCGAGTACAAGAGCCGCCAAAATGGTGAGTAATAAGTTGTTAAATCAGTGCCAGCAGCCGCCATATCAACAAGCAGTGCACTCACTGCTTGGGCCATTTCCCTTTCCTCCTTGACTGCTGCTTCTTCTTGCTCCCGCTTTCCGGCTCCGTCTCCGTCTCCGGGCTGGAGCCGGCTCTCCTTTCAGCCTCAGTTGCATTCAATTTTTCATGCCAAGCCAGGCTGTTGCTGCATATACAACACAACTGAATACTGCCATCGTGCCCTGTAAATGTATGCATAGCGGGTACAGTGGAGCCCAGGGTGACACAACTCTTTGGTTTCTGGAATATTGAAAACTGCTTGCTAATAAGCAGTGCTTATAAATTGAAGAAGGACTCGATATTCCATGCCCAATCCTGTCTTAACTTTAATTTTTTTTAAAGAAATTTCTTAGCAAGTCTTTAAATTTAATTTTTCTATAATTTCTCTTATACCAAGGCTCTACTTTAACTTGATAAAACTCCCATTTACTGCATCTTCACTGTATATTTATGGCAGCCAAGCTGGAAGTCTTGCCCTCGTTTGTTGTCTATTTTCGATCATTTGTTTATATGTATAGACCTGCCCCATACATATAGTGGCCATTGTTTCGTTCCGCTCTCCTCCTTCTTTTTTATCTTTTTATTTTTTATTTTTTATTTTTTACATATTTATTTATATATGTATGTATGTATTTATTTGTATTTGAGAATGGGAGGAAGCGCGGTTGCCGGGACGCAGGCGGCTTCGAAAATTTTTGAATAATTTGCAGTCATAAAATATGCAATAAGCCAGCAGCCAACAGCCAACAGCTGTTGCGAAATTGTTTTGAAAGCCGCGCCATCACATTATTTAAAGCGACGATGGCAGCTCTCCGCCGGGTTTCCCACTCCTTGCCCTCCTCTTCTGGGTACGAGAGAGAGGAGAATCGAATTAAGCGCTGTTAAAGGATTTAAAGTGCGAAAAATAGTTGCCCGGCAGCAGACGACAATTGTGCCAAGTAACAAACACCATTTTCCCACCCATTTCCCTAGCATTTTCCTTGCTCAGATTCAATTTGCATAGACAAATGTGGAAATTCTTTGGGGGCAAGTTTGGGTTTTCATCTTCCAAGGGAGTCGTCTCGGGCTCATCTGCGGTCAGAAATTAGACAAGTTCAGTGGGAATCTTCTGGGTATTAATATGTATTCTTGTATGGGGATTATCTACCTAACTTTGATAATTATTTTATTTAGTAGTTGTACTTATAAAATATCCCTTTTTCTTTCAGCCGCCGAAGGGTAAAAAGGGCAAGAAGGGCAAAAAAATGCCAGGTAAGTGAACAAAATTGCATTTATAAAATATTACAATTTCCCTAAAGGTTTTTTAAAGGTATATATGTACACATATTGTTAAATTGTTTACTAATATCCATTTTAAATTACATTTAACTTAGACTTCTTATTTTATAATGACTATTATTTAGTCTAACAAGGAAGGATACTAAACTCGGAAAGCCGAAGTTTGTATACCCTTGCAGTTTGCCGAAAGGATCATGGCCTCGAATCAAAAATCGATCAAATCTCAGCCAAAAATTCATTAATTTCAGTTTGGAAAACTTTTCTAAGATAGTTTTTTTTTAGGCTTAACAAATCTCCATATTATTTAAAATTTTAAGATCTCAAAATTTTTGGCCATTTTTGAGAATTTTAATGATGTCCCCCTTATCAAATTTTGAAAAAAATCGATAAAATTTTGTTTGTGTTCAGAGATGCTTAGAAAGAAGCGCCTGTTTATGCTGAACAAGAATATATATGATTTATAGGGTCGGAAATGAGGCCTTCACTGTTTTGCTAGCTTTTTACTGAAATTATAAGACCCTGCAAGGGTATAAAAATACTATAAATATTTTAAATATTTAATTATTATATTTTTTTTAGTGTGGGTTATTTTTTTGAATGTGTAAATATTATTTATATTTATTTTATATTTATATTTAATTTATTAATATTTATTTTATTATTTTTTAAAGGATAGGTTATGTAAAAGATATTTATAAATCCATAAAAGGATTGTTATACTTTTTAAAAATAATTATTTTATGCATATTTAATTTTAAACACTAACATTTTTTGTAATTACAATTTTTTGTGCATTTTATTTATTATTTTATTATTTTAATTTAGCCATTAATGGCAAAGTCCCAAATATTTGGTATACGCACTGTTGGACTTGTGTAAATTAGGTCTTGGTTCATTAAATTATTATTAATAATTTATTGTTGTGGAAGAAATAAATCCTTTAACCCTGATTAAGCTAGCTTCCTTTCTTGTAAATTCATAAAATAAAAAACACAGATTAACAATCACCAAAATACAAGTTTAGTTACTTTACAAAACAAACTTGTAAAATATTTTTCCAAAAATTCGTTAGATACCCAAGCCTTTTCATATTTTCCCTGTGCACTCCTCTTTAATGTGGCCAGTTGTTAAAGCCTCTCCTAAAGGAGACAGGCGAATGAATGCTTGGTTATAAGGACGAGGACGGGGGACAACTGCCTGGCTATTCATTTTCGGAACATTAATGGCAGCAGGGTGCCAAAGGAGCCGGGAATGGGTGGACATTGGTCATTCAGGGCAATTTAAAAAGGCCAAGCAAAACAATTAGTAAATAACGATAATCTGCGTGAGGAGAGAAGCGGGCCAGCACAAATGGAGGAGGGGAAGCAGTGGACCAGGACCCAATGCAATTCCTCTGGCCAGGCCTTGCAGGCCCGAAATTAAGAGGGAAAAAATCAGGGGGCCCATGGAGGGGATCGGCAAACTGTCCACTTAATTTCCACGAGCGAGCTCACTGCAGTTTCTCCTGGTTCCGAGCTCCCTTTCGCCGTTTTCCTACGACATCTAACGCACATAATTGTTTCTATGCAGGCACTGGGAGAAAACAAAAGTGAGACTAGTTGAAATTAAAAGGATTTTATGTCCTGCAATTAATTGTTTATCAATTGATTCAAAAAAACCTTAAAAATATTGTCTTAAAGTCAACTTTAAAGTCTCTTTTAAGAAGAGTCTCTCAGTATCTTTGTAGTTTTTTGGCTCTGTGTGATTCCTAGTTGGAGTCTTAGTCGTGGTCCTGCTGCTAGTCCGAGTCCTGGCACCAGCCGGCCCACGATGCCAATTACAGAAAACAATTACAACACGGTCTGCTGCCGGGCCACATATGCGGGCGGTGGCAGGGACTGGACTGCCCTAGGGGTAGCCAGGCGTGCCGCTCTCATTAAATTGCCATAAAGCTGGGAGGAGCACCCAGAAATGCAGCCAAAGTTCTCTCACCCACTCACTTGGCCAAATAAACAGCAAAGTCAGTCCAACTTAAATAGCAAAAATGCCAGAAATTAACTAGAATATAATGATTAGGCTAAGCCAGAATTAAAGCCCAATTCCCATTCCTTGTTCACCCTTTTCTCCAGTTCTTATCGATGGCGTGGACACCTCGGCCATGACCCGTGACCAGCTGGAGGCCTTTGCCCTCCGGCTGAAGGCGGAAATGGATCGGGAGAGGGAGGAGCGCAACTACTTTCAGTTGGAGCGGGACAAGATCCGCACCTTTTGGGAGATCACGCGCCAGCAGCTGGGTAAGTTTTTTCACTGACTAATGGAGAGAATCCCTTGATTGTGACGACCCCTGACCCCCTTCAGATGAAACCCGCTATGAGCTGCAGCAGAAGGACAAGGAGATCGAGGCCACACAGGACCTGGCGGACATCGACACCAAGCATGTGATGCAGCAGATGAAGCATCTGCAGTTCGAGAACCACAACAAGCTGGGCGAACTGCGCGCCGAGGCTATGACCCAGCTGAAGCTGGCCCAGGAGCACCATGCCCTCCAGGAGAACGAGCTGCAGCGGGATAAGCGCCAGCTGCGCCGTATGCTCCGCGAGCGGATGGAGATGAGCGAGATGCAGCTGCGCCAGATGGAGGCTCACTTCAACGAAAAGCTTCTGTGGGTATACCTTGATTATCCTTAAGCTTTTCCTGCTCATTATCCAGCGGCTGCTTTCGTTGCAGGGATCAGCGCATCACCTTCGAGCGCGAGCGCAAGGACAACGAGATGCTGCACGAGGAGAAGATGATCGAGCAAAAGGCCAAGCTGGATCTGTTCTATGGCACCCAGATGTTCGAGGTGGAGGAGCGCAAGAATCAGCAGATCAAGGACCTGCAGGACCACCACGATCTGGCCTTCAACGACATGAAGAACTATTACAACGACATCACCATCAATAATCTGGCACTGATTGGCAGCATGAAGGAGCAGCTGGAGCACCTCCGCAAGCAGGCGGAGCGATCGGACAGGATCGCTGCCGACACAGCGGCGGAGAACCGACGCCTAAAGGAGCCTCTGGAGTCGGCCAACATCCAGTTGAACGAGCTGCGCCGTAAGCTTGGCTTCTACGAACGCGACAAGCTGCAGCTAAGTCGCCTCAAGACGCGAAATACGCGCCTGGAGAAGAAGGTCAAGGGTCTCACCTGGGAGGCTGAAACGCTCATCCTACGCAACGATTCCCTGGTAACCGAACGGGAGGGACTAAAGGAGCGTTTCAACGACGTCATTGTGGAGCTGCAGCAGAAGACTGGCCTGAAGAATGTCCTCTTGGAGAGAAAGATCGCGGCCTTGGTAAGGGAGGACGAGAAGCGCAGCATAGTTCTGCACGAGACCATAGCCACCTGTGCCCCGAACTTTGCCGATAAGTTGACGTGCCTGGACGAGCGTGTGGGCAACATTGTTGACGAGAAGAACAAGATTATTTTGGACCTGCGCTACCAGGTGGCCAAGGCGCGCAAGGCCCACGACGATCTCCTGGAGACCTACGAGTGCAAGCTCAAGCAGTACGGAATTCCCGTCGATGAGCTGGGCTTCAAGCCGCTCAAGGAGCGGGAACATCAGCAGCTGTATGTGTGCGGACCGGCGGGAATAATCACGGAGAATAAGTAAAGGACATGGGAGAGGAAGCGGAAGTGGAAGTGGAAACAGGAGAAGTACAGAAGAGCAAGATTCTCTCCTACGAAAGGCTTCTATCCAAATTAACCAATTTAATTCTAAAATCAGTTTTATTTTATCAAGAGCCGAGTATGTTAATAAATTAAAAAAGTAATAAATATCTAAAGTTCAGAAGAAAGAATAAAGTTAAAAGAACTTCCAGTGATCAAAGGAAATTAATAAAAGGGAATTGAGTAAGCAGTGCTAATTTCCCAAAAGGATCAAATCAAAAAAGTCCCAGTTCCCCTTCCCAATAAGTACAGTTCTCACTTGCTGTTCGAATCATTCAGAATTTATTGAACTTTAGCCTAGATTAGTGTATAAGAAGTATGTATACGTATATGTATATGCTTATAAAAAACCTTCTGGAATACTTTAGCATGGATTTCGATCGTTTTCTGGAGACTGCGCGTACAATCCGAATTTCGACTAAGTCTACGACAGACTGAGAAGTGGCTACAGAGTGAGTGTGTGAGAAGGACACAGATAAAGACAAGGAGAGAGCGATAGTGAGAGTGAGATAGAGAAAGAGAAAGAGAGAGTCAAAGTCGAGCCATGTATTTTGCTGTTGTGTGTGTAATTTGTACGTAATACTCGGTCGGTCTGTGGTTTGGGTTCTTAAGTAACTCTTCCAACGGGAAATTATACAAAAAATCTTCAAAGATTGTTTTTCTGAACGCTTCGTGGCTTTAGGCTAATTTTACTATATTCTGCATCTGCTTCTGCTTTTGCATTTGTTTTATGGTTAAGGGTTCCCTTTCTTTAGTTTTGTCAATTGATTTATTTTTGAAATAGATATCACATGATGTTTTGCTCTTGTTGCTGCTTTGCTACGGATTTAATTCAATTCGTTTCGATTTCAGTTTAGCTTTTAGTTCATAGTTTCGGTTAAATTGATTTGATTTGATCAACAACAATAATTTTCCTTATGCTCGTTTTAAATTTAAATTTTCCCTAACTGAAATGTATGTGTATGAGTGTGTTTGTTGTGTGTGTTTCCTTGGCATTAGGTTTTATTGTTTCAACTTTTACTGGTTTGGTTTGAGTTGCTGTGCTTGGAATACACTCTACAATCTGAGGTTTTTTGTTTTGCAAGTCCTAAAATAACAACTAAAATAATACGTTTTCAATTTGGAATGGTTAAATTCATATGCTTAGAGATTTCTTCTTCGGACCACAGTGGTTTTCCAGCTTATTCTATGTTAGTTCTTGAAAAACTTAGGCTAAAAAAAGAAATAAATTCAACTTAAATTAGGAAAATAAGATACCTCTCTTTCAAAGAGAGTCTACAAATGGGCCTTAAGATTAGTAACAATTAAATGAAATCAAGATGATCATCAAGTAAAGTGTATGCGGCTCTGCGGTAGTCCGTAGTTCGTTCCTTCCTTCCAGCTAATCCTGCTTCTTGGGTCTAGCTTAATCCTTCCAGGCAGCGCGGGTTAGTTTGAGTAGATATTTTCGTAATATTATTATTATTATTTTTTGTTATTTGTTTTGCTTAATTCGTGTGCCGTTTTGTTTGTTTAATTTTTAGTTGTTGCCTTTGTGGTATAGGTACTTTTCGGTTACGCTCACAAACTATATATAGAATAACTTATAGCTTCCTGTTTGCTGTTCTTGACTTTCTGCTTGTAGTTTTACTGTTTTGTATTTACGTTTTTGTATTTGTTTAAATCAAAAATTTAAAGCGATCACAACGGTTTACTTCACAGACGCGTGTGTTTGGAAACATTTTGTTTAGAAATGCCCGTAGAAATATTCTTTTTTTCCTATTTTTCCCCATATAATTTTACGTTTCTCCTATTTCGGTTATCGGCTATCGGTTATCGGTTATCGGCATTCAGTTATCAGTTTTGCTTTCCTCTATACAAGTGTAAATGTAATTTAATTTTATAATCTGAGTATAATTTCACTTAACTAATTCCTCAAGTCAAATTGGTTGCGCGTTTCCTCGTCGTTATTGTTCTCTCTGTATGGTTTTCTGGTTTCACAATCTTAATAAATACATGCTGATCGAGTGAGTGTTTTCAGTGTGTGTGTGGCTGTGTGTGTGTGTGTGTGTATGGCACATTGGGAGTTTATTTTTCATTTCCGTTTCCTTTTTGGATCCTAAATACTTCTTCCTCCGATTTCCTTGTACGCGTTTTCAGACTATTTAGCTAATTCAATTTGATTCTAATACGACCGATCAGAGGCTATATAACTTTTGATTTGCTTTACGTGATTGGTGATTATTATTGCTTGCGACCTTGGACTATTTATTACGTTTACGATTAATATTCAATATGCATTTTACGTTACGTTTACACATTTAACTTTAACTTTATCTAAATGCCATCATAATTTGTTTGTATTTCAGTTTCAGTTCCAGTTTCGATTCGATTTTGAAAAAGTCATCAACTAAAATGAAAGTTTTACTAACATTTTTTGTTTGTAAGGCAATTTGTTTGTTTTTTTTTTGTTTGTTTGTTTTGTTTTTTTCTGGTTTTTCGGTTTTTTGTTTCTTTGTATCTTTGCTTTTTGTTGCTTTTGCTTTTGCTTTTGAGATTGTTTTTAATCCAAATTGAATTTAGATCGAGTTCAGTTCAGTTGATTCAGTTTCGATTTCAAAATATATAAATCCACCAAATCGAGTAAAAAAATACGAATACAAAAAACGAGCCTGTTCATAATTAATTACCCAGTAATTAGTATGATTCTTCGGTTAATGCTAATTAAGGTTTGGATCTCGTATGTTACATGAAAGCTATTTGAACGGGAGTGATTAGAGGATGAGTGGGTGGTTGGCTGGTTGGGTGGTTGGGGGGAGAGCACCTTAGCGTCTATGAAAGCGAGCGAGACGGCAGATGGCAACGAACTAGAGGCCATCGTCCCTCAACAAATACGTATTAGTAGAACTTCCTGCGGGCAAAGGCGTTGATCAGGCGCGGCGTATGCTCATCCAGGCTGCACAGTTCCAGCAGATTCTCGTTCCGTTCGGCGCTATACCGCATGGAGCCGTGGTTCTGCCGCAGAGTCACCATTATGAATCTAAGGAATCCGAGGCAATGCAATTAATTAAGTCACTTAAAAAATATGCTAATCAAGACTCACTTGGCATTGGAGCTCCGCTTCTCGCGATACTCGTCCAGCCGGAGGGCCAACTTTGCGGAGCTATTGCCCGGATTACCGCGCCCTGCCCCCGGCACCAGCACCAGGAACACATCGTAAGTGTTCTTCTCATCCTCCAAAGCCCGATCCAGGATATCCGTCAGCGATTGCTTGATCTTGAGCACCTGCGAAGGACGAGCCAATGAAGGTATGAATAACATCAGGAAGTTCTTTACATGATGCGTACCTTCTGATTCTCGCAGCAGGCCTTGGCCTCCTCCATGGACATCTCCTTGGTCCAGGGCAGCGTCTTCAGCTGGCCACTGCGATCGTGCCAGAACTGCACCGTCACCTTGGGATCGCTACGAAAATAGCCAAAGGCCAAGGCCACCAAGGCATCCACGTATTCCATCGACCGACAGTGACCGGTGAGGTTTTCTAGGAACGAATTCAAGTTAAGGTAAAGTTACAAATAGAGAGGCCTCGCCACACTCACTGCGCATGTAGCACTGCTCCAGATTAAGGGTGATGTGCAGCCGGCGGCCCAGCGCCTTGTTCAGACCAAAGGATCTCTCGTAGACGCTGTGCAGAAAGCTAGAGCTCGCATGGATCTGTCCCTTGATCTTGGGCCTCCTCACACGCATGTCCTCCAGCAGCAGTCGCACCGGCGGCACATTGCCCGCTTTCAGCCTTTGCTCGTCCCTCAGCTGCTCCTCCAGGGGACGCACGTGGCGATGGCGTCGGAAGAGACGTAGCCAGCTGTGCAGAATTTGGTCGTAGCTCATCCCCGGAAGCAGAAACTTGGAGAGACAGGGAGCGTGCAACAGGTGGAGCGGCACATGTTCCCAGCTCAGCGCCAGCTTCTTTACAATGGGCAGAGCCTCGTGGGAATCCTGCAGCAGGCGCAGCTTCACCACACCCTCGATAATCGGCCGACAGCTGGCCAGGGGATCCAGGAAGCTGGGCCACTTGGACAGCTCGCGGGGCGAAGTGGAAAGCAGCTTCAGGGCAGCCATTATCTCCGGCCGGAAATCCTCGTCCTGGAAGTGACAGCGATGCAGCAGATCGCGATGCGACGACCAGCGGGCAGCGTCTCCCACGGACCACAGGTGCAGCAGCTTGTCCAGCGACTGCTTGCCATACCATCCGAGGACCGCCTTGCGCACGGTGCGATTGAAGGGCGTCTTTCGGTCGAGCACCTTCTGCAGCCTCTTCACCAGCTGGATGAACAGCAGCAGCTCCCTCTCGCCGGCCACAAGATCGGCGAACTTATTGCGCATGATCTTCCGCTGCTTAATGTCGCCGTGCGTGCTGAGGAAGACGGCCAGAATGAGGAGCGGCTCGTCCGACCGCGGCAAATGCTCCGCGTTCGGCCCGCTGCCCAGGACACTGGCAAGGCACTCCACCAGCTCGGACTCGGCCACCTTGCCGCACAGATCCTGCAGCACCGCATAGTTGCTCTCCACGATGATGTCCAGGGTGGGGACGGTGTAAACGGGCGAATCCGTCGAGCCAATGAAGCAGAAGCGGCGCAGTTTGTCAATCGCCGGAATGGATGAGGCGGTGGCCGTGGTGGGTTCAGCCTTGACGGAGGGATCAGCCTTGACGGCGGGCTCAGCAGGCTCCTTCTTCACTGTAGCTGGAAAGGGTGAAAAAGATTATATTTTGCAGAAATATATTTATAACATTTTTGAATTTTGAATTTTTTTTAATTTCCGATTTTTAATTTTTTTTTTTAATTTTAATTTTTAAACTAAATGTTATTTATTTTAAATTTTAATTAAATTTGTAAATTTTCAACCTAAAATTATCTTTTAATTTTTAATTAAATAAATTATGTATGTCATATTTTTTATTTTAACTTAAATAAATATAAAAAAAAAGCTGCCAAGCTTTGCTAAAAATTGTTTATTCGATTTTTATCGAAATTAAAACCAAACAACATGAAATAACTCCACACACTCGCATCCTGTGTGTGTGCTCTCATGTGTGTATGTGTGTGTGTGTGTGGGAATGAGCACATGTATCGTGTGGTTTTGCACTCACATTCCTTGGCAGCCAGCGCTTCCCCCGCCTTTAGTGGCTGCTCCTTCCGCTTCGCCTTCTCCTCCTGCGATCCATTGCGGGCCGCGTAGGATCTCTTGGACCCCGCCGAGCCCTTATCCATGGCCAGGAACTCCTATTGCCGCTCCAAATTGGAGGCCAGTGGCTCTCAAACCGAAGCTCGGGGATCCTTTTCGGTGTGGAGTTAAGAAAACACGCAATTGGTGAGAACTGCTCATCCGTCCGGATCCAAAGATTGCTGCCAGGGCAGGCGGGCAGGAGGACATCCAGCGGTTTGATGGCTCCTGTTCGTGGGAGTTTCGCATCCACGGGCCCAGGATGGCGACGCGAAAATTGACAATAACAACAGAAGAAACACAAAATTATTAGGGATGTGAAAAATGTATGAGAGTAGAGCTGCAAGTGAAATCGATTCTGCAATCGACTAGTCGATTTTTTTAAATTATGCGATACATCGATATACATTTTTTGAATCGATATTATTATTTAAAATATTTCAATTTTCAATTTTAATTGATTTATTTTAGAATCTTTTCGAAAAAACGATTTACTGAAAATGGAATAATATCCAGCTATATAGGAGTATCCGTTCATCGATTGGCGGTGAACCACCAATAAATCGAATATAGATATCGATATTGGCTCACCTCTAATTCAGCCATGTTTTCAAAAACAAGTGTGACCGCTATATGGACAGGAAAGAAAACCACATTGGCATGCATGCGCGGCAATTTCAAAACAAATATATAAAATATATAAATATTTTAAAATTTAATCTTCTTCTGGATCTATGCACTGGTGCATTACGATACCATGTTGTCCCAATATTTCAAAATAGCTAGATGAGCATCACTGAGCATCATTGGTGGGTGGCAGGTTGGTTTTTGCCTACACCACAATTAACCGCCACAATTGATATTAAATTTAAATAAATTGAGTTTCATGCACTTTTGGCTGAGCTTTGTTAAGCTTAGAAAAACGAACTCAGAACAGCTTTCCGAATTGAGTTTCATTCATTTTTGGCTGAGTTATGAACATTTGAAAATGAGGTTGTTTTCCCAAAATAAATCGTACCATTTTTGCAAAAATATGTAAGTGGTACCATCATTAAAATTCTAAAAAATTAAGAAAAAATGAAATTGAAAAGAACCCTAAACGTAGTATGCAGTTTTGTTAAGCTTAGAAAAAGCAACTCAAAACTGCTTTCCGAATTGAATTTCATGCGTTTTTGAAGTTATGAATTTTTGAATTTTAGTTTTTTTTCCGAAAAATTATCAAAATAAATCGCAGCCTTTTTTTTATTTTATTGCAGCAAGCTGCCAGGAACTGAAAGCGGATGCCGATGGCGAGACAGAGAGCGTTGGAGGATCAGGATGAGGAGAAGCAGAAGCAGACCAGGTGCTGGGGCAGCACGACGAGGATGCCACCAAGACCGAGCCGAAACCACTGGGAACGACCTGCGACATTCCCACATGCCTCACCTTTTCATATTTTATTTATTTAAAGCTGAAATAAATAATAAACCTTAAAAAATGTGTTGTTTTTGATTTATAATTAGGATGCTTTTATTTTTAGGGTGGGATAACTTAAGTAAGCCCAATAAAAGGGCATTTTTGCTGTGAAAAATGAAAGAAACATCATATATTGCAAAATAGCTAACTGAGCATCACTGGCAGTTAGAGAGATGCCATTTTGGCCCAATAATGCAAAATAGCTCGATGAGTATCACTGGTAGTTAGCGAGATGCTTTTTTAATGCTAAATAGCTAGATGAGCATCACTGGCAGCTAGTGAGATGCCATTTTCTACCAATAATGCAACAAATAGCTAGATGAGCATCACTGATGCAGATGGGCATCACTGATGCAAGTGAGCATCACTGATGCAAGTGAGCATCACTGATGCAAGTGAGCATCACTGATGCAAGTGAGCATTACTGATGCAAGTGAGCAAAATTTTTAAAATTTGGCCGCTTCTCAAACTGGGGTAACAGGCGAACAGAAACCAGCAGCAAGCAACTGAAAACTGGTATAAACTGTTATAAAAACTTCTGGGCAAAAATAATAATTGGTATAAACTGTTATATTTCATTTCATGCATTTATACTTATTTGTTGCCGACAACAACAGCTTGACGGCAACAACAACCTTTTTACAACAACATCCCTACAGCAGCCCATCCAAATTTCTGAAATTTTCCATGCAAATTGCCAGTTTGCCAAATTGGGGTAACAGGCGAACAGAAACCAGCAGCAAGCAACTGAAAACTGTTATAAACTGTTATAAAAAGTCCAAGTTTCGAACCATTTAGGAGCCGACGCAATTAAGCGGAGACTCAAACCTTTTGAATCCAAATTTAGGTGTTATTTTACAACTGCACCTGGGCACACTGAAACTGATCGTCATTAAATTCAAATTCAAATTTGGCAGTTAAATTCAAATTTATCAGTTAAAATATTTAAAAAAATTTTAAAAAATCTAAAAAATATGACAAAAATGTTAGAAATTCAGAAAAAATTTTAAAATTTCAGGAAAATTGTCAAAAATCCTAAAAAAATGTTAAAAATTCAAAAAAAAATATTAAAAATTAAGATTTTGCTTTCAAAATAATTCGATTTTTCCCCAAACAATCCCAAGGACCCCAAATAAAGGCCGCCTTCAACAAACCTTTCCACATTGATTTCACGTTCTTTTTTTGATTCATATTCGTATGTTCCATCAATTACATTTATTCAAATACTTTACGCCTGCTGCAGGGTTTCAACTAGCCCGGAGCCAAGATCCGACCACCGTCCTCCATCCATCCGTCCATCCGCTTGAGCTCCGCCATCCCAGCTGCTCGCTCCTCCAGCTTCATCTCTGCCGATCCGATCAACAATTACACTGATGACTAGGATGAACTTGTGCTTCGCGGATCGCTGCGCACGCTCTCGTTTTCGCTCTTTCAGTGCTGTAAGCATAATAAAACAAGAAAGAAAGCTAACTTTGGCCAGCCAAAGTTTGTATACCCTTGCAGGTAACAATTAAAATATATCATAACTAAGCTAAAAATGCATTAATTTCGATACGGAAAGCAGTTTTGTGTTTAACTTAAAAAAACTGCATACCAAATTTAAAATTTTAAGAAATCAAAAATTTTTTGCCATTTTTGCTAATTTTTATGATTTCAAATTTCGCAAAAATGGCAAAAAATCGATTTCTTCCGGACATGTCTAGAAAGATTCGCATGTTAATGCTGATCAAGAATATATATGGTTTATGGAGTCGGAAATGATTCCTTGACTTAGAAAAATATTATTTTGTATTATAAAATCGGATTTTTTATATTAAAAAACTTCTTGATTTTTTTTTAATTAAAAATATCATAACTGTGCAAGATTTTCTACAGTTAAAAAATCTGCATACTTCATTTAAAAATTTTAAGAATTCAATTCTTTATCAAAATCAAAAATTTTAATGATGTAACCCCTTATAAAATTTTGCAAAAATGTCCAAAAAACCGATTTCTTCCTGACATATCTAGACAGATTCCCCTGTTGATGCTGATCAAGAATATATATGGTTTATAGGGTCGGAAACGTCTCCTTCACTGCGTTGCAAACTTCTGACTGAAATTATAATACCCTGCAAGGGTATAAAAAAGCTATGTAAAATTAAATTAAACTAAAGTTAACATCCATATTTCAAAAATCTGTAACTCAGCCAAAAATAAACTAAAATATAAACTATCATTTTTGCTATAGCAACTATAGTGGAAATTTTATTTCACCCATTTATGGCAGATTCTCAAAATATTTCGTATACGCATATTACGCATACGCACTAGAGTAACTAGTATTTAAAAATTTAAGAAAATACTAATAAATGCAAACAATATATATTTTTAAGAAGTTATATTTTAAGAAACTAATGTTAAAAACAATTGGAGCCTTGGAGCATTTAAGTAGTATTATTAAATTATTATTGCAGAAGAACCAAGTTCCTTGCATTGAACCTCGGTGTTTCACAGTTCCAAAGCGATTTTCTGTAGAAATGACTTCACTTAAGTGTTAAATAAAAAAGATTTAAATTAAATAATTACTATGTAATAAGAATAAAACTTCAATGTTTGGTTGAAAGATAAGAGTTTGTATTTGTTATATAATTTTTCAGTATTTTAGCTGTGTTGTTCTTTGCTGTTCTTTGCTTGTTCTCCTTGCTGTTCGTTATTGTTATAACTTATTTTAATTAGCTTTTTCGAATTATTAGTATTAAATGTGGTTTTAAAAGTGAAATGTAAACAATTTGCCCTCGCTTCATCTTCCTCATCATTTCTGCAATCCGCCAAAACATTTATATGCTGGCCATTATATACGCATGTAATTGAGTGGATCGCCTGATATATATTATTTGGTTTTCTAGTAACTTAGCAAAATAATACGATCGTTATTGCGGTATTGCTTGTTAATGTATCTTGTATATATTTTTTTTATAGTTAGGGCTATATGCAAGCGTCTGAATTGGATTTGGTTTTTTGGTTTTCCCTCGATTTTCTAAGCAACCCTAAGCGACCCTGCAATTAATTTTCAAAAATCTAAAGTAAAGCTGATCTTGTGTGTGTGTGTGTGGTGTGGGTGCAGTAACAAATGTGTGTGTGTGTGTGTGTGTGTGTGTACGCTTGGCGTGGACTCAATTTGAAATCAAGTGATTTTTCTCAGTGTTTTTTTATCTGTTGATTTTGCAAAAGGATTTTGCTTATGAAGTTCTCACCACATTTGGCTCATGCTCATGCGTGTATAATATAATTATTTACTTGTTTAATTTAATATTAATATTTATTATTGCCAGTTTCGATAAGAAAATAATTTTAAGATTTATTATTATGTTTATATACTTCTCTTCTCTTCTCTTCTTTTCTATCGTTTAGTTTTCTCCTCCGTTTTTGCTTTGGTTTTTTTTTGCAATTGTTATAAATATTTGTTGTTTGTTGGTGTAAAGTAAAATTTGTTGACTAGATTTTATCCTCTACTGCTCTCTCATATTGCTGTCTCGCTCTGGCTTAATACTTTCCGTTACATTTTTGTTTTTGTTTGCTGCATTTTTCTTTAACTATAATGTTGTGTGAGTGTGAGTGTGTGTGTGTGTATTTGTGGTTACTTTTCAGGCTTAAGCATTTAAATTGCTGATTCTCATTCGATTTTACTAGCTACGGGTTAATAATAATCGTAATCGTAATCATAATAATCGTGTTAATATTTGCGATAACAACAGACTAAAATTAATCTCATAAATCGGATGTGCAAATGTGTGTGTGTGTGGCTGTTATTGTTTATGTACATCAATTTGTTAGTTGAACTTGATTCAGCACTATTTTGCATTATTGCTTTCCGGTTCACACGTCGTGGCCTCTGCTTCGGGGGCGTGGCCACAATTGATGATTGGATCTATCGATTGGCGCTGCTCGTAAATCGATTTACCGTTAAGCCTAGGAATATTCAAAATATTTTGGAGAATTTCTGGATCTTTCCATCCCATTTTGCAATTTTCTACAATTTTTGTTTGCTTTAATTTAAGTAATTGTTTAAACAATAAATAATTCCCTTAATCGTAGATATGTATTCGACCTTGTTCAGCAATTTTATGTTTAATTAAATGAGATTCTGCAAACATTACTATCACAACCTTTAAATAACTAATTTTGAGCTTTCATTTTTGATATTATTTTAAAATAAATTGGAAAGTAAACAACGCTAACAGGAAATTCATTCAACAATGTTGCTTCATAGAAGAACACTTTTGAAATATATATCAGCTTAAATGTTATCGATTCGAAATCGGCTCTTGGTTATTGGTTATTGGTTATCGGCTAAGCAGCGCCCTATCGTTATTCACTTCGATTCATTTGGTTGGCCGTTTGTTGAGGACGGATTAACTACTTACTAAAAAATGCAATTACTCTTCTTAATTCAAGAGCTCCCTATATGTGTGTGTATATCCTGCGAGTGATGTGTGATGGAGCTAAACCAATATATATGTATATATATATGCTTATATATTCTTATTTGTCGGCGCGGGACGATTTCTCAAGCAACAGTGCAAGGAATGCGGGGTTTAATATGTGTGTAATGTGTTGAATGTATTCCAATCTGGAACTGAAGTTTGAGGAAACCGGCCCCCGGCTGGGTTATATTCGATCCGATCTGATCCGTACCGCTTGCTATTCGTTATTATTCGTTATTAAGGCAATCGCATTTGGTTAATTAATTGTAGAGTAGAGTAGTTAGTACATAATGCCGTTCGATTTGAAAATTGCTATTTGGTTTCGCTTTTGTCGTGTCTAAACATGTTCGCTATGTACAGTTACAGGTGTACATAGTAGGCGTGTGTGAGTGTCGTATCTGTGTGAGTGTCGTATCTGAGAGATGCATCTCTCGAATGAACTTAGCACTTAGTTTACATTAGGTTAGATGTAAGTTATTAAATCGTCATTAATATAATTAATTCATTACTTTATTTACGTTTACTTTTATATGAAATCACAGTCCGTATGTGAGAAAGACTTTATATATGTACTCGATAATGATGATAAAATACATGGGTTTGGGTTTGGGTTTGGGAGCTTCTAAATATGTATAGCCTACGTCTTGCAATACTTGGTGTTTTGTTTTTTTTTTTTTTTTTTAATTTTCAGAGGATAATGGGTCTATATAGTTCGGGGGAGGCTTTGATGTCTTGGAAACTACAATTAATAAATAACAATTTGTTGCTGCTGGCTTTTATTTCATCGCTTTTCGTATTCTTCACATATTTATGTGTGTGTGTGTGTATATATATATATACTGCATTTATTTAAAATATAAACTTTCTTGTTTTTGTTGTTGTTGCTGTTATGAAAGGCATTTGTTTAATCATGTTTTGGTTTTGGTTTTCATTTAGTTTTTAGTTTTTTTTTTCTTTTTCGTTTTGTTGATTTAAAAAATGTTCGCTTGAATTGTTATCGTTTAACTACATAATGCTAGTAATGTCTATATAATAAGATTTGATTTGAATTGTTCATTGTTTTTCATTTAGTTTTCATTAGTTAAATTTTCGTTTAGCTAAAATTGATTTATCTGATGAACTCCCTCTGCGTTTATCGTTTTTAATCGTTAATCGTAAATTGCTATCGCTAATTGCTAGTCGCTCCTCCACTCGTTACAATCATTTAACATTCGTTAAGTCTACTAATCGAATAAACCGAAAGATATTCATCCAAGTTTTCTTTTCTTTCCATATTTTTTTTCATAGTTAGTTTCTTGCTTTTGGGTTTCCGCTTGATATGAACTCTCACAGTAAGCTGATTATGGATCGATCTTTGTATTAGCTTTTTTGGTTTCTTCCTTCTTTTGTTTTCCATTTTCCAGAACGCAGGTTAGTTTTCAGAGCTTTTGCCAGGCGATAGTTAACGATAGTACACGATAGTTAGGTTCTAATATTGTCATAAAAGTTGGGACGATGTGATGCAGGAGGGGTATTAAATATATATTCAATTGCTGGGGCTTTGTAGAGAGACAGAGAGAAGTAGAGTGGAGAGAGAGAGAGAGAGTTAAAGATATGAAATGTTATGTTCCTTTACGCCTTTTCTTTATCCTTAATCCTTTATCTACTATCTTTAGTTATGTTCGAGTCCGAGGCTTAATAGACCATAATAATCGTAAGGATATTTCCACAAAAAATTCCCTTCTCACTAAGTTTTATTATTGATTTTGTTTTGGTTTTTGGTTATTTTTGTTTTTTTTTTACTAGATAAAAATTCATAAGCGCCATTTTGTCAGCCGATTTCTGAATCAGATTTGATCAACAGTTTTTAGCATATATATTGCACCTCTACTCTTCGTTTTCCCCTGATTTTCAGGGGTTTTCCAAACCTATATCCCTAGCTGCAATATATTTTCTTTATAATTTTAGAATCCTTTTTCAAAAAGTTCGTTTTTTGAAGGGGTGTTCATGGAACCCCCAATAACCAATATTATGTTTTCAAGCTTTCCCTCAATATTTTCCCACATTTTCTTTTAGAAGGCCATGCTGGTTCTCCTGCCTCCCAAGCCACCGCCTCCACCGAAGGCCCCGCCCCTGGTCAGACCACTATGCGAAACACTTCGGCCCATCCTGGCCTCGCTACCCTTTCGTTCCCTGGCCCTCCGCAGCAGGTCCGAGGTGCTGGGCCTTCTGCTATCCTGGGCAGATCCGCCTCCACCTACTCCCACTCCTAACCCCGTCCCTGCCCCTCCACCACCGCCCTTTTTGCAATTCACTATATCCGAAGTTGAGGATCTTCTAATGGTGGCTGCATCGGCCGAGGGCAGCTGGAGGCTAACGGCTCCCTCCGCCTCCTGCTCCGCTGTAGGGTGAAAGGAAGCTGGGGGAATGTCCTGAGAGAGCTGTTCCATCGCCTTCTCTTCGGAGTGTTGACTCGCCCTCGGGATCCACGCTTTCCACCCGCAAATATGGCATCCTTCGCTGCACCTGATCCACTGCCGGGGCAGAGCTATTCGGCTGACTGGAACTGGCGCCGGCACCGGAGGAGGAGTGACTCCTGAGGCCGCTGTACAGGGACTTGAGATGGAAGTCGAGGGACTTGAAGTTGAGCAGGGAGCGACGCTTCTGGGTGTCAGTGGCTCCATTTGTTGGCTGTTCCGAGCTGCCGTTGCTGTGGTTATTGTTGTTTAGGGTGTCGAACTGGAGGTCTGCGGGTCCTGATCCCGATCCCGATGCTGCCACCTCGCTGGAGTTGCTGCTGGACGGGAGATGTGGCTGCTGCTGTTGGGGAAAATACGACTGGTGTTGCTGCTGAAGTTGCACATATTGCTGCTGCTGCTGCTGCTGCTGCTGGAGATGTTGCTGCTGTTGATGCTGCTGCTGTTGATGCTGCTGCTGCTGCTGCTGCATCTCCTGCCTGCTTATTGTTGTCGTCATGGTATTGCTACTTAGGCTAGTTTTACTGCTAATCACTTTCAAAAATTTATTATCGTTATCTAAGGACTCCTTTCGTCACTGGATGAGGCAGAAGCCCTGCTTGGCAGCATCCTTGGCAGCGTCCACCTCCTCAATGAAGGCCTCATCCTCATGCTTGGGCGAATCGGCGCCGCAGGGTCCGCCGCCGCTCAGGCTGAGCGGCCCCTGCGGGCACGCTGATTGTCACCGGAGCGCCAGCGTCGAGATCATCGGCGGCCGCACCGGCTTGTTCTCCAGTATCCGCTCCAGTTCCAGCATCACGCTCGACGAGAGTCGCGGCAGCAGCTGCATGAATATTGAACTGAGTCTCTCCTACACTTGATATAATATCTACCAATCGTGTTACTGACCTGCAGCGACTGCAGACTCTGGTGAAGCTGCTCCGCCGAGGTGGCTCCCAGCAGCAGGCACTGGACGGGCTCATGCTTCAGCGACCAGGCAATGGACAGCTGAGTGGGGCTGCAGCCCAGCTTCTCGGCCAGGGCGGCCAAATCACGCAGCCGATCGCAGTGGCGTCGTCCCTCCTCGATCCGATCCTTGCCCCAGCTGCCCTGCGGCGACAGAGCGGCCTTAAAAACGGGACATTGTAATTAACAAATAAATTCTGTTTAATAACAATAACAACTCACATTGCGATTGATTTCATCCTCGGTCCAGGAGAAGCTCTTGGTCTTGAAGGAGCCCTTGGGCAGGAAGAGCTTATCCCCATTCTGGGTGTCACTGAGGGCCATCGACAGGGGTCCCCAGGCCATCAGGCCCACGCCAATCTTGTTGTACATCTCCGGCAGATAGAGCTCGCACTTTTCCCGACAGAACATGTGGTACTCCGACTGCTCCACGATTGGCGTAATGCAGTTGAACTGGCGGCAATTGGTGTATGCCTCCATGATCTCCACCTGGCTCCAGCGAGCGGTGCCCCAGTACATGGCCCAGCCCTGCTGTATCACATAGCTCATGGCACGCACCACTTCTGGAAGAGGGGAGGAGTTGAGGTGATTAACAGGGCAGGGTTAGGGTTGCTTCTATTTCCTTTTGGAAAGTAAGGAAATTAGGGTACTTTTTCCTGAAACTATAACCATTTCGAGTATCTCTAAAGGCTTTTAATTTCTGCATATTTATTTTATGCCTAAATAGCTCCTAGGAAAACTAATAATCAAAGGTTAGAACTATGTTTTAGATGCTCAGTTTCAATCTAGGAACTATTTCGAACTAATGAAGGACACTCACCTTCCATGGGACACATGGGATCCGCCTTGTGGATGATCACTATATCGATGTACTGCAGCTGCAATCTCTGCAAGCTGGCTCGCACGCACTCGATGATGTGTTTCCTCGAGAGACCCCGCTCCTCAGACCTACAAAAAAATATATAAAAATACATTTTAAGCATCAAAAATAATACATTTTGATTCAAAATTTCAAGAAATATATAAGATAAATATATTATTTTTCAATAAAACCTATTTTCTACATCTGTACTCACTTGGTGCTCCAGTAGACCTTCGTGGTGATGACATAGGCCGTTCGCTTCCAACCCGCCCGCTGCAGAATCTTGCCAATCTCCGTCTCGGAATGCGCCTCCGAGATGTCAAACAAATTGATGCCGCTCTCGATGGCCAGCTTGAGTATAGCCTCCGCCTGGTCATCGCTCACACCGGGCGAGAAGACCGGCCAGGTGCCGAGGCCCACGTTGGAGATGCGTAGGCCGCTCTTGCCCAGATTCTTGTACCGCAGGCCCGGCGTCGGCGTGGAGCCATGCCGTAGCGGCAGCGCCGGATTGGAGCCCAGGCTGATGGAGCGGCCTGCTCGCAGCGGTATGCCCAGATAGATGGCCATATAGTGGGTTCGAGTGTCCAGGTGTTCAGGGGTTCAGGTGCCGCATGGGAATGAAACAGTTTCGTTTTGGGGAAAAGGGCGTTTCCGTTAGTGGAAATGTGGAAATCCTTAACACGCAGAGGCGGGGCTCTCAAAGTGCCGGGAAACGTGCAAAAACACAACAACAGCAACAGCAACAACAAAGCTAACCACACAAACGCAATTCAACGATAAAAGTTTAACTAAAAGGGCCAAGGTGACGAAGTGGCAATACTCTAACCAAACATCTAGTTGTAATATTTAATATAAAATATTATTTATACCTATAAATATATAATATTGTATAAAATATTATTTATATAAAATCTTATACAGAGAACCAACAATTGCTCGCAACAAGTCAAGTTAAAGGTAAGTTTTAAAAACTTACTTGTGAGGGTTAAGAATATATTTTCGAAAAGTAATGATATATGTATTATTTATAAAATTAAAATAGATTGTGGGAAATTTTAGGGATATTTTTGGGTCTAAATTTTGTATAGAGAATTCGAAACACTTTTAAAGGAATTTTAGGTTTAAAATAAATAAGTAAAATATCAATGTTTCAGCGGAATTCAAGGTTAATCTTCAAAAATACTTTTGGCACTCCTTTAATATATTTCTTATATATAAATAATAATAAATAAATAATCTAAACTTCATCTTCTCTGATAGTTCAACTGTGAATTAAGGCTCTTATTTTTAAACCCTAATTGAAAACTAAACAAAACATGAATGAGCATGAACTTAAAGTAATATTCCCTTTCAGTTTGTGTTCTTTACCATTTTAAATAAATATTTTATAAATTTATGTCTAAACTGGCTACCTTTTTGGGGGTTCAACTACACACCTTCAGGCCTCGAAATTAAACTTTCAACGTTTGCAAAACGGAAAAAAAGGACGAAAAAGGACGAAAAAGATGCCTGGGCACTTAGCTAATTGGGGTAACCGCTTAGCAGAGTATATTAAAAAGTACAAAAGCGCGGCATGCAATGAACATGAATAAACAAGAGTGACATTTTTCTGTGTGTTTCCTTCCCTTGTGTGTTTTATCCCCTTCCTGTTTTTTTACCCACCCGCCTTCCTGTTGTTGTTATTATTATTATTACTTTTTTTACTTCACAAAAAGTGCGTGCGTCCGGTGAGCGTGTTTTTTTGGGTGCGTGATTGTGGTGGAGTTTTCGTATAAAACAAAAACTATTTGTAGGTGCTATGGGTTTTCCCCACAACGAATAAAATAAATTACAACTTTAATTATATGTTTGGCCATTACGCGAGCATTTACCCCAATGCCTCTATTTCGCCAAAAAAACAAACAAAACCCACAATTATCGATAATTATGATGGACTCAAGTGCTTTAGCATGCAAAACAATCGAAATAATCGAACAATCGGGCAATTGAAAACGTGTAGCAATCAAGGGGTAACAACATAAATGATAAGCCTATATGATAGTGAGAAATTTGATACCGAAATCAAGATGACCGCCCGTACCACTGAACTCCTCCATACAGTCGAGTGACGCAATGGGAGCCCGGCACCTGGAAAATGTACAAAAAGAATGGATATATCGGGGTCAGAATAGGTTTAAAAAAGGATGGGGTATATAAATATTAGAGGTAATATTAGTAATTAATACTTATGTTATACTTATATTTAGATTTAGCTCTCAATATATCACATGTTCCCCCCGTAAGTGTAGTTAATTAATTTCTTGGCTTAAAAATATATAGAAACCGATTTTCGATAGCCTCACACCTGTGTTTTTTTTCTAGCCGCCATTTTTACCTGTAAATGGTGACCGGGTTCGATTCGTCGCTAGTATTGTCCACATTGTTGTTGTTGTTGTTATTATTATTGTTGTCATTGGTCGAGGGCGCGACTGCGCTGTTGAGGATCATCAGTTGCTGCTGCTGCGTCAGCGGCTGCGTCGTGGGTCCCGTTACGAAATTCAGATTGGCAGGCAGCGCCATCAGCAGAGGCGGCGGCGGCGGCGGCTGCGTTGGCATTGACAGCGACGCTGGCTGCGGCTGAGCATCGATGCCGGCAGCGGGCATTTCAATGGTTGTTCCATCGACGACGAGGTCGCCACCGCCACCGCCACCGCCACTGCCGCTGCCGCTGCCACTGCCCTCTGCTGGCCCACTGCCGCCGCTGTGGTCATGGCCCAGGAGCAGCGGCGTCGTGGCACTGCTGGCGTCCATCAGGCTCTCTTGCGGCTGCGACGTTGGCTGCGAGGCGCTGCCGTCGCCATTAAGGTTGCATAACGCCATGGACATGGTGGCTCTGCTGCTGCTGACGTCGTCGTCGTTGTCGTCGACGTCGACGCTGCTGGGCTTTACTTTGTTTCTTTTAATTTTTTTAAATTTATATTTTCTCCTTTTTGCGGATGATTTTTTTGGTTCTTTTTGTTTGTTTTTTTCTCTTTTTTTTTTAATTTTTTTTAGACCCTATTGGACGCCATTGTTTATTCTAAATCTGCACGGTATACAAAAATATTATTTTTTGTTTTTAGTTAAAATTATATTTAAATTTTTATTTATTTAGGTTTCATTTTTCTGGTTTTTGTTTATGTTCTTATATTGTTTATTTAGGCGCTTCTTGCACTTTTATTTATTTTTTTTTTTTTGGTCTCGTTTATCTGGTGTTTGTTTACTTATTGATTTCTTCTTTATTAATAGGAAATATATATATTTTATTGAATTTTGAAGCTTTTTTATTGGCTTATTTAGGGTTTTGCATTGAATATATATATTAAATATAATATTTGTTTGGGTTTTCGGTTTATGACTTATATGACTTTTAGCAATTTTAAACTCGCATTTTTAATTTCGGTTATAAGTTTAAGTTTAACATATAATATTTTATTTAATTTTTATATATTTTTTTCAACTGTTTTAATTTATTTTAGTATTTTTCACACTTGTTTCTTATTTTTATTTAATATTTTAGGCTTATTTTTTAATAATATATTTTATTTTTTATTTTATTATTTATATTTATTATATTTTCAAGACATACCTTTGTTGCTTTTTTTCAATTTTATATTATTTTCACTTAAAGTAATTTGAATGTCTCCTTATTGGCGTTGTTTTTAAGTTACACACTATTAAGACTGGACTACAAATCACAAGGGATTCTGTCTGTATATATATCTAGCATACTTTTAAGGCAAAGTCCAGTCGGATATATGTTTAGTTGCTTGTCGCTGCTGATTGGAAAAATTGGTAAACAAAAAAAAAACGCATTCCGTTTGCCGAAAAAAACAAAGCCCAAAGCTTGATCGAAACTTTTGCCAAAAGTTTTTGCATAAAAACAAAAATTAGAGAGGATGAGAGCCTGCGAGAGAGAAGCTTTTCACCACACTCAGAGAAAAGAGAGCCCGCTGGGAATCACATTAATTACGGCCATAAACTTCAGGTGCACTTGAATGATAAATGGCAACGCCACTTGTTAACACACGATTGATCTTGTCGAACATTGAAATATGTATGTTGCCTAAGGAGGTGAGATGGGTCTTTCCACGAGATATTATATTTAATTTATATTTAATTAAATATATATATATAATTTATTAGGGAATTAAGAACCTAAGCATTTATAAGATATTTTTTAGACATATTGAAACTTATTTTAATAGAAGGAAAAATCAAAAAAATATATTTCTTCTCCTTATATTAAGTTTATAATATATTTACTTAAAACCCATATTGGAACTATGTACATAAAAATCTGTTTTAAAATCATAAAATCCTTCGCAATTCGTAATGCCTTCTTTGACAAGGTGACATTAATAATTTATTATTATAAATTAATTCTCACTTTCTTGTTTCCAAAACTTGTGAACCAATGATTTGGCTGTATATAATTTCCCAGCAATAAATTTGCAGAGAATATATACATATATACCTATACCTCTTCAGATATCGAACCGGGCACTTTACATTAGCGCCGAAATATCTGCGAACATAAATAGACATTTGATGGTTGATAATTTTAGCTCGTTGCCGGCGGCTCATTTAATCCGCCTCGTGCCGAACATCGTTGGATATAGATATATCCGTATCTGTGGGTTGTATCTGTATCTGTATCTCATTTGTATCTGTATCTTGTTCGTATCTGTATCTGTATCTAGATCTGTATCTAGATCTGCTTCTGTTTGATTCCCCATTATCGATGGTTAATTATAAATTAACCTTGACAATGGTTTCAGTAAAAGTCAGACAGCTTTTCCGTCTTAATTAGCGGGATCAGTTTGGAAGGCGCCATGGAATGCACTATTTTCCACTGCCCTAGGGGAGGGAAGGTAAGCTGAGAGGTGTGAAGGTAGGTTGGTAGTGCAAGACAGCTTTTCACCACGACCGGTGTGTAGTTGACACCACAATGAAAACAACAAGAAGAGAAGGGCACAATTTGCGCCTGCTTTTCCCCTCCTGCATTTCCCTACGCTTTTCCCCCCGAGCAAAACTTTTTGACATTTATGCAACGGTTTACACAATAAAACTGACACCTCTACAGGTAGCCAAGAATCAGGGCAAATGTGAGGGGTATATTACTACACTGGCCAACAAGTTGTTAGTTAAAAATATTTCGATTTTTGTATTTCTGGATTTATATATATAGAAGATAATATGGAAAGTAAGTAATTTTGGCAAAGTTTATGGTATAAAAATAATAATTATATTAATTAATACTTGAAATAAAATAATTTAATAAATAAAATAAGGAAAATATTTCCCCAAGAAATCTCTAGGAACTTGTACTTTCTCTTAACTAAAATTACAAAAGATTTTTGAAAAATTGGTTTCGGAAATTCTTAAAATACTTATTCAAATAACATTTTATATTTCATATTTGTCCAATTTTTGACCTAGTAATATCTTCACATTTCCTGTAGTTATTCTACGCTCATCATAGCCTACTTTTGTGGGGATCAATGACCATCTGTGAGTGCTGCATCTCAGCGAAAAGTTTCGAGTGCCAGCTGCAAACTTTTGCCAGGACAATAAATTCCATTTCTAGGCCAAAGTGACAGTTGACTGAGCAAAGCTTAGAGTACAGGAATATATATACACATATATATATATATGTATATTCTACATGTCACTAGAAGGTGTCGTTGGGTCCCGAGGGGCGTTAGCAGAGAGGCGGCTAATCTACAAATTAAACTTTTAGTCAGGTGCTCGCACACACACACACACGCCCGCCACTTTTGGTATCCCCGATTCGTTATCCTTGTTATCTCCGGCCAACCCACAAGTGGGGCGGTGTGTGTGTGTGGGTTCGACACACCGAGGCAAGTGGCAAGTGGCAGGTGGCAAGTGGCCAAGATTATCGGGCCAAGTCAAGTCAGCTAACGTGATGTTGGCTTACAGATTTTCCCAGATTTCAGAAATCATTGAGATAAATGTGTTTTGATTTTGTCTAATTTGCAAATGCATCAAAGCTTAATTTCTAAGGGGAAAATATATTCTATATATTTGAGTTATATATTTTTAAGAGAAATTTTTAAAGTAAAGTATAAAATATTATATTTTTGAACAAGTTCCCTGGTATGTTTATATCTTCTATTATTTATGTACAACTTTGTAGAAGAAAACATATAATTTTGAGTAATTTTTATATTTTTAAGAGAAATCCCTGGTACCGTAAAATATAGTATATTATATTTTTAACAATTTTCTTTCTATTATTCACATTGAACTTTTTAGATATTTATTTTGTGTCTTAATCCTTGAGATATTCAATGTGTAACTTAAGATTTTACCCTACTTTAAGCCTTTAAGGTAGCCAAATAATATTGAACCTGAACTCGCTGATTGATGTATTAACCCTGACATTGAAAGGCAATACTCATGCCTTAGGACAATTGGGCTTTTCACGCTTTCCACGCTTTTCCTATTTCCTTTTAAGTGGCAAATCTATGGAAATGCACTTGATTTGCTTGCCATTTGCAATCACACGTGTGTCAAATCAATTCACTTTCCCTTAGCCTCATATTATTGCCCCCCCCCTCAAAACCATTTTCCTTACTGCATTTTCCTATACTTTTTTTTCTTTTTCGTATTGTTTTTCCTGTCGTTGCCGCTGACACTTGGCCGTCTGCACTTAAAATCGCATCATTGGCGATTATCTTCTCCTGCCTTTTCCCTGGCATTTGTTGTGACGACCTTGACTCGTGCACGAATTGGAAAATGTGTTTTCCTTGTTTTTCTTTTTTGTTTTTTTTTTTGTTATTGTTTGTGTTGTTGTTTTTGCTGTTGTTTTTGCAGTTTTTATTGTAGTTTCTGGGCTGTTACTGAAGGCCAGGCGTCTAAGCTGTTTACAAGCTTATGGCAGCTACAAAAGAAAAACTGGTTTACAGTGTCAGCCTCTGGTTCCTAATTATGTGACCCGCAGATGGAAGGGGCGGCAACAGCCCAAAAAAGGGGCTGGGACAAGGAGAAGGAAAAGTGCATTGAGAAAATTAATATTTAGAAAAAAATAAATAGAAACCTCATTTATATGTGAAATAATTTTTCTAAATAGCGAATAATACTAA